GGAACACCTATGCATCACGTCCAGGTCCGGAGGCACATCAAGTAGCCTAAGACATGAGCCCTCCACCCTAATCTTGCTTAATTTTATACAGAGAAGGGGGAACTGTGAGAGACTGCTTGGGCCTGCATAAGATGGCTGCCCTCAACCTTAGCCTTTGCCTCAGTGGAAAAATCCCACTAGACTACATACGTGACCTTTGGCAGGTCTAGCCCCTGGGCAAACAGGAAATCTTACAGAAAAAATAGCCCTTTGTGCTAACCACAGGGTCACCGGATCTGGAGCAGGAAGCAGGTGGTATTTTCCCCGTCCTACTTGCCCCTAGGGATTGTGCACTTACCCCTCCCCACATTTGGTAAAATACTGATTGCTGTATGGTTAAATGCTTGAATGACTCATGTGATTGGTAGAGGATTTGCTTGAGCTGTCCAATAAGCTTGCTGAACCCTCCCCCTGGGATAACAGTATATAATCGTTTTGCTGAGCCAATAAAGCGCCTTTGATCAGAAACCAGACTTGGGCCGTGTACTCTAACTTCTTAAAGATTTCCTCCACAGACATTCAAGATCGGATCGGCCTCTGATGACCCACGAATAAGAGGCGGCTCTCACCTCCTATTCCCCGCGGGACGGGGTCCCCCCAGAGAGCCGCAAGTGGTGCCGCTGCCTGCCTCACAAGCAGAAGGTCACAAGTTTGATGCCCAATAGAAAAAAAAATTTTTTTGACTCCTAAGAAAAAATGATAGTATAGTCAGCTCTCTAGCCAGGACTCGCAGTGCACTCCTGTAATCCCAGCACTGAGGCTAAATCAGAAGGATCATAAGTTTGAGCCCAGCCTGGGTAATTTACTGACTTAGCAAGACCTTGTCTCAAAATAAAAAATAAAAAGGTCTGGGGATGTGACTTGGTGCGAAGGTCCTGGGTTCAATGCCCAGTACTGTGAAACAAACAAATATATTCAGCCCTCCATATTTGCAGATTCTCCATTTGCAGATTCAATCAACTATGATCAAAATATTTTGGGAAAAATTGTGTCTCTACTGGATATATATGGACTTTTTTTCTTGTCATTACTTCCTAAACAATATAGGATTACAATGATTTACACAGCATTTACCTTGTATTAAGTATTATAATAGAGAGATGATTTAAAGTATATAGGAGAATAGGGGTAGGTTATACAGAACTACCATACCATTTTATATAAGGGACTTGTACATACTTGGATTTTGGTGTAGGCAGGGGTCCTGTAAACAGTCCTGCAGGGATACTGAAGGACAACTGTGCTTGGTTTCAAAATCCCTTCATAACTATCATCAAAATAGTCTGAAGCACAGTGACAGATCCCGTCACCATTTGCCCTTACAGATACATGGCTTCCCCAGATGCCCTGCCTCGTGCTGACATCCGTTGTATCGCACCAAATACATCAATGTGTTTCCCACATCCCTTGTGACAGCACCTGGAGACGAAGCAGGTGACCTCTCTGCTCCTCACATTCTGTACCTAGGTCATTTTCTCCTTCCTCCTCCCCAGCAAAAGAAACTTAGTTTTAAATCTCATGAAATCAAGTACATCAATTACTATTCCTCCTTATTTTAGCTATCTGTCAGTTCCTGGTAGGTATCAATCTTGCCATTCCTGGAATACTTCAGCCTCTGGCTCACCATCATTCTCTAATACTGCTTTTAAAAAATTTATTATTAGTACGTGTTTGCAGTACATAATGATTAAATCCTCCTAAGGAGTTGGTAAATGTGTATAACGCATCTCAATTCTTCTTTCATCTCCTTCCCCTCCTCTTCTAACCCTCTCCCTCCATCTCTTGAACCCCTTCCCATTCAAAAAAGATCTTTCTATTTCCTATCATGTATCTTTTGCTTTACTCTTTATTTATAGTTTGGGTTTCTTATATAATAGAAGCCATTTGATATTTAAATTTGTATGTCTTATTTCACTTAATATTATGGTCTCAAGGTGCATCAGTTTCCTACAAATGACTCAAAAGTTTATCCTTTATAGCAGAATAGTACTGTATTGTGTATAAAAATCACATTTTCTTTATCCATTCAACTGCTGATGGACGATAGGTCACTGTTCTTATCATACTCACTGGCTATTTCACAATATCCGTAACTTGGTCTGTCAGTCCTCTGACCATCCATCTCCCTTCACTGACAACAATCTTGTATCCCACACTTCCACAGCATGATCCAGACGGCGTTGTTCTGAATAAGTGCCAAACCCTCTATAATCTTAATTACCACACTCAGATTTCCCCCTTCTGTATTTCAACTCTGACCAGCCAGTAGGTATAATTCTTTGACCCTATCAGAACCTACAGTTCATTGATCTTACCAATGTCATTGTTCTGTTTCCCTACATTCTCTCATTTCCTAGCACAACTATTAGTAATAATTACTCCCTGCATATGTCCTCACCTTCTTTGCTGTTCTGTCATTTAACTGTACTCCTGTGATGAAACTCCATGTCTTAACTTATTCTGGGCCTGTATCTTGCAGAGCTGGAGAAAATCACACCACCTATACCAGTCTCTCTCTTTCCCTTTTTCTTTCTCTCTCTCCCTCCCCCTCTTTCTTTTTTTTTTTTTCTTTCTTTCTTGGAATGGAAAGAGCCTTGCATATGCTAGGTAAGTGTTGCACCAACGCCCTAATTCAAATTCCTGATCACTCACCTCAAGTAGGCCAAAATGGTACTTAGGTGACAAATTTCCCTAGAACATTAATTCCTTTACTCTTCTAAATGATCATTTAATATATTCCACTCTCTTCAAATCTTCAATACCATCTCCTCCATCCTTATTCTCGTATTACCTTGAGCTGTTTCACTAAAAATAATTTGAAAATAATTTCTACAAATTCCCACCACTTCTACACATCTATCTGCACCTGTGTTCATCTTCTCTAACTTGCCCCTATTACTATAAATGCACAGCTCACTTTCTGAGCAAAGGCCAGCCTCTCAGATCTTCTCACCTACTCAAGCATTTTTCTATCACTTCCCTCCTCTCTCTCCATTATCAATTTCCTCTTTCTACTGAATCTTTAACATCAATCAAAGCACATGTAGCCAGTCAGCTTTCTGTCACTGTGACAAAATACCTGAGATAATTGCCTTTATAAAGTTAAAACTGGGGGCCAGGGATTCAGCTCAGTGGCACTGTGCCTGACTTGCAAGTGCAAGGGTCCTGAATTCAATCCCTGGTATTGAAAAAAAAAAAAAAAAAAAAAAAAAAAAAAAATTTTTACCATGTGCTTGGCACAGTTGTTTTGGGGCCTGGGAGGGCCTATGGTGGCACAGTACATAATAGTAGAACTGCATGGCAGAGAATTGCTCACGTCATGGAAACCAGGATACAAAGAGAGAAACAGGAAGATGCTAGGGTCCCATATCCCTTTCAAGAGCAGTGTCCCCATTGAAGACCCCCACAGGGTCCTAACCCAGAAGGTTCCACCACCTCCCAAAATTACCTCTGACTGTGGATCAAGTGTTCACCATGTAGGCCTACTGGAGACATTCAAGATCCAAATTATAGTGGCTACCTTTCTAAAACACTGACAGCCACACGTTTTCCTTCACTTACCATCCACTTCCCTCCTACCCTTACAGTTAAATTATTTGAATTGTCTGTGTTGTCTACGTTTCCTGCCCATTCTCCATTCTTGCACCAAAGAATGACACTGTATGATTTATGTGTTAACAGGATCGGTTTGGCTATTTTCTTGAGACTATTATAAAAGAGGGCAAGAGTGGAAGTAGAGACAAATTAGGAGAACATAGCAGTAATCAAAATGAGAAATGATAGTTCAGTACAGAATAGTGGTGGGTGTAAGAAAAAATAGTCTGATTCTGGATATATTTTGAAGATGGGATTTAAAAAACCCACCCTAATGGGAGATCCTTAGTTTGAGCAGCTGAGAGAGAAATGTAAGAGTTAGTGGTTGGTTTCTCTGTTTCTATCTTTGTTCCATTCCATTTATTTTCAATAGCTGTTGTGATCCTAGTGAAAAAAAAAAAATACAAACCAGGGCTGGGGATTTAGCTGAATGGTACTGTTGCCTGCCTCACAAGCGCTGGGACCCAAGTTTGATCCCCAGTACCAAAACAAAAACAAAAACAAAAATAATCCAATCATGTCACTATTATACTTCCACAATTCCGATGGCTCATTTTACTCAATCTGAAAGACACTGGCATTTAAGATGTCTATTATACAACCAAATGAAGATGCTCAGTACACATCTCACATAAAAGTCAAGTTCAGAAGCACTGTCTGGGTAATTGTTGGTGTATAGATAGCATGCCAACCCATAAGTCAAGATGAGATCACCAAAGCAGTGAGTATAGACAGATTAAGGAAGAGTACCAAGTTTAAACCCTGTAAATTTAAATAAATCCCTAGTAAATTTTGTTGAATGCATGAATAATGTTTCAGCAATGAACAGAATGAAAAGGATGGTTTGTATCTGTGTCTGAGGGACTATGTCAGGAGGAGGGAACAGCAAGTTTAAGACCATACATTAAGAATATATTCAATTCAGCCAGGTGTAGTGGTGCATTCCTGTCATCCCAGCACTTTAGGAGGCTGATGCAGGAAGATCACAAATTCAAAGCCCTGCCTGGAGAATTTAGTGACTAAGCAAGACCCTGTCTCAAAATACAAAATAATAAAAAGGGTTAGGGGTGTAGCTCCATGTGAAGGCCCTGGGTTCAAATTCCAGTACCCCCCCAATTCAATTCACTACAAGGAACTGACTGAGTTTCACACAGGGGGACAGAAATTAAATGAGGTCAAGAGAGATATTCAGGGAGATTATATATGCCCTTGCAAGCCATTCTTTCATCCTGAATTAGACCGGAATCTCAGTGGAGAGGTTTAAGAAATGACATACTTGACAGAAAAGTTTCAGCAAAAGAAAAGTTGATGTCTGCTTGTTTTGAAAAGCAGTAATATATTTCAGGAAAGAGAAAACACCAACTAACCTGGTACATGGCTTTAAAAAGTCCAACAGCCATTCTTTCTTCTTCTGGGCTCTTCTCTTGAGAAATAGCAGTGACCTCAGATGACTGAGATGGGGAAGAGAATATGAGAAACTATGCTTTTCTTGCAGCTTCCTGAATTATCAGGTTAGACTTTTTAAGGCTTCTCTTCCTTCCTGCTGCCCGCTTCCCTCCAATAGAGAGAGCAGAATGGAGACCTAGGAATTATACAATTTAATCCATGCCTAATTCATTTCCCAATTTATTTTTTAAAAATAGGTTTTCAGGTTTTATAAAGAATCTGAGGAATATGATTACTTACATAAAGATAAACAATTAATAGATTATAGCGCCAAAATCAAATAAAGGTCTGATCGATTCCAGTCTTTCTTTACCATAGATCACTGATTCCAAACCTTGGTGGCACTGTGACATCACTTGGCTAATTTAAAAAGATCCTGGGTGTCATAAATCTAAGTCCCCTCACATGCCCAGTCTTAAAAACTAGTGTCAACCATCGCCTTAAAACATGCTACTGTTAAAAGCCATGTGTAAAAAGGATCTCAAACAGACAGTCCCCTCACCCTCAAATGTGAAACGGTATCACAACCAATGGCCTCCATCCTATGGTCACAGAGGCCGCAGGTACCGGCACAACAGTAGACAGAGAACACCCACCCACTCCCGGCCCACTCAGGCTCACCCTCTGTGCTACCAAACATCGACTCACTAGCACCCACAGTCACGCAGGTAAGAGATGGACACGCACATCAGGTGACAGAATCACACTGTACGGTATCAACCCATCTCTCACCCGGACAGCCACAGAGGGACTGGGTGTACGGTGGCCTGGAGACCCACAGACCAACACTCACCAGCAGAACCGAACTGCGGGAAGGTCCTACTCCCTGTCTGGAGCCTCAGGGAAACTCGTCCACTCAGGCCTCAGTGGCCATCCCAAGTGAGAGAGAAACCACCTTTACTGGGGGGTCGGAAAGATGAGCTTCGGCTGCCTACGCCCCCGGAGGACACAAAGGGGTCGCCGGCCCAGCTCCCGCAGGGACCGCTGGGAAATGTAGTCCCGGCCCCAAAACGCTGCAGCTCAGCGACGTCTGACTGCGCAGACGCAGGTCCTCTCCTTGTCCGTTAGTCCCCTCTTTCACACCCAGCACCCCGAAGCTGGCCTCCCTTTGGATTTCCAAAGTAAAGCTAAAAAATTCTGATGCCTTCGGACTGGGTGGGCTACGAAACTGAGCGGAGTGTCACAGTAGATGATCTAGAATTGAAAGGCACAGGCAAGTGCTCAGCCACCTCTCTTTAGCAACCTGGGCAGAGAATTTAGAGAGGGTTGTGTCTCGACCAATGTAGTGAGTTCCTGGAATTACGGAATTCCTGAAAAAAGGTGGGAGGTAAGAACATGCGCATTGGGCCTCCTCCCAGTCTTGCTTTCCTACCCCACGAGTTTTTACCTGGAGGATGGTTACTTTAAAAATCTGAGGCGTTAAGTAGAGTGCTCAATGTCATCCTTAATTCCTGCTTCCTCTATTTGTGATTTGGTGATGTTGGGTGTGAATGGCTCTTTTTATTGTTTGTTTGTTTGTTTTAGGCAGGATCTCACTTTGTAGTTCAGGCTGGCCTTAAACTCACTTTGTGGCCTAGTCTGGCCTTGAATTTGAAGCAGTCCTCCAGCCTCAGCTTCCTAAATGCTGGGATTACCAGGTTTGTGCCACCACACCCGGCGTGAATGGCTCTTCTTAAAATGCCTCTTAACAGATTCCTTCAAGGTTCCCTTCCTCCATAACATTCAGATACAAAGTCACATCTCCAAAGAAGTCCTTCCTAATCACACACTGTCCTTGGGCTTCTTGACTTCTAATCCCTTAGAACACATAGCTTTGTATTTGTCTATTGCTGCCACACAGGTTTTTGCCATCTGATTGTGATTTTGTGTGCACAGGACTCTGTGTGTGTCTGAAAGTGTAATCCTGTAAAACTATGTAGTGGGCTAGGCATGCTACTTTTATGTATTTCTGTTGCTGGACAGTTAGTCATAGACTCACCCTACATCCAAGGTCTTTGTATCCCTGAAGAAAGAGTTGAGCAGGACATGCAGAAGAAGAAAGCGACAGTACACTCAGAGAGAGAATGGGCCTATAAGAAAACTCAAGAGGAAGTTTGACTCGGCAGCACCCATCTGCCCTAGGCTTTGAGGTATTTATTGTGACCTTTCCTGGGTCTCAGGGTCAAAGTGACACCTAAGGAGACTCTGTTTAATTAATTGAAAGTATTGATCCTCACATGAGGAGGGGTCTTTTTGACTTTTTATGGATCTGGACAGAAGCAGTATACTGTAGCTGCCACTGGACAGTGTGTCAAAACTACAATGTTAATACTATAATGACCATGGGGTTTGCCTGAAGCAGTTAGGGCACATGCTTCTCATGCCGATGTCAAAAAAGTATGATAAGAGCAGAGCATATATTTTAGGCTCATGTCATGATGTTAAGGAAACATGGTGAGGTAGCACCATATTTCTCAAGGTCATGTCGCCATGTTAAGGAAATATAGTAAAAGTAGGATATTCTTTTCATTTTCAAGAGCCAGAAAGCATCCTGCATGTTGTGACTGTAAGGCCAGGATGTCTCCCACATTGTCTCTCTCCTGCCTCATCACTGGGTATGTCACAAACGTGATGTTAACTGTGGGAATGTACTATGATAGGCACTGATTTGTGGACAGTGGAGTAGGAATGTGTGTGATTGTGAGGATTAGACTGATTTGTGTTCATGTGTGCAATTCTGTCCTGTGGTATATCATTAGAAACCACCAACTCTGTGCCAGATGTCATTTGAGGTGCTGGGATGGACACAGAAAATACACTTTAAAAAATAGTGAATAGAATAATAAAGTGCTGAATAGCAACTTCAAGGGACTTAATGTATGTGTAATTGGGTAATATGTGGAGATCTGGATGTACACAAGGAAATGAAGAGCACCACAAATGGTAACTATGGGGTAAATATGTAAGACTTTTATGTAAGAGCCAACAAAAGACAAAATACCGTTTAAACAAAAATAAAAACAATGCAATTTTGAGTTTATGTAGAAGCAAACTGTATGACATCAATAACGCTAAGTCTGGGAAGTAAACAGAAGTAAGCTATCATTGAGCTTCCTATACTCTATGTGAAGAAATATAGTATTATTTAAACAAATACTGTGGAAAGTGAAAGGTACAAACTTCAAGACCAAAAGTAATCACTAAACTAATAAAACAGAGCCACTGGCTAGAGACTATGTAATCTAAACAAAGAATCATAACTAAAGTCATAGCATAAAAAGAAAATAAAACAGTAAAAAATAATCTAAAGTCAGAAAGAGGGGAAAATAAATAATAGATGGGAAACAAAGAGCAAGACAGATGTTTCTATCAGTAATTAGATTAAGTATAAGTGATCTAAACTCCCAATTACAAGGCAACAAGTGTTGGGTTGCATAAAAAAAAGAACTCAACTATATGTTGTGAGAAATTCACTTTAAATACAACAGTAAGTACAGCAATACCGGTAAATTGAAGCATAAGAGTAGAAAAAGACTATCAAATGTTAGTCAAATGAAAGCTGGAATGATCTTGGATTTGGCACTGGATTCTTAGATATGACAGTAAAAAGATTAGCAACATCAACAAAAAATAAATTAGATCATCAAAATTTAAAAATTATGCATTAAAGGACATTATGAAGAAAGTGAAAAGACAACCTATAGAATGGGAGAAAGTATTTGTAGATCATATATCTAATAAGAGTTTGCTATCCAGACTATAAAGAATTCCTACAACTCAAAAATACAAACTCAATTAAAAAATCAGCAAAGGTCGTAACTAGCCATTTCTCAAAAAAAGATACACTAATGGCCAATAAGCATATGAAAAAATGCTAGTCATCATAACAGAGTTCCATGGCCTGGGAAGTGTTGGGAGAAAGGAAAAGAATGGAGAACAATGGCTAGCAAAGACAAGACATAGTTGGATATGAGGAGGGTGGCTAGAAAACAATTAGGAATTGTTTAGGTCACAATGGCCTAAAGTGATGTTATGGAGAGCCTCATGAGATCAGGCCTTGACATAAGCACAGCCATGATTGAACTTTGAGTCACCTCGCTGGCAGGGACGTGCCGTTGCCCCTGACGACGGGCCTCTGGCTCCAGTGGTGTGATCTGTTGCCTAGCAAATGTAACCCATAATAGTTGTTATTGTACTACGGTTTCCTTTTGGAATGTGTGGGCGGCACTCCTTTTCCTCTTGCAGCCTTGTGGCTGGAGAGTATAAAAAGGAGAGGTTCTATAATAAAGCAAGCAAGTAACATGAGAAGAAAAGTGCCTCCCGTCTCTCTGTCCTTGTCCTTTCAGGTTTAGGACCTGCTGGCAGGGTCCTGACGTTGCTGCTCGCGACAGATGTTATTACTTTCTTGTGTGTGTACAGGGGATCAAACTCAGGACCTTGTGCTTGCAAGGCAGGCAGCAGCACCACTGAGCTAAATCCTGGCCCTTACTACATTTTTAACAGGAAATTTTCTTTATTTATCTTTACTTTTTTTTGGGTGCTGTGGATCAAACAGAGCATGCCAAGCACACTCTGTATCACTCAACTACCTCTCTAATTCTCGCTCTTTTAAAAATGTTTATATTATGACCATTTTCATTTTACTATTGATAATGAAATGATTATTTCATTTTACTATTGATAATGAAGTGATAATGAAATGATCACTATTAGTAATGACAATGAAATGAAAAAACTAGTAAAATTTATTTCAAAATGTTAGTTGAAGGAGACTTTTACTTTCAGTGATTTGGAGTAAATTCTCAGGATATTTTATCAAGTTGCTGCATTGTTTGTAGTAAATGGTTTTTTGTTTCTTTTAGTCCCAAATAACTATATTCCTACAACTAGAGGGAATATAGTTACCTGTCCAAATGAATGCTGCCTGCTTTTTCATGTTCATGTTAGTAGGGTTATTTCTGAGTTAACCTTGACTGCCAAACAGCTGTAGAATTATCTTGCAACAGTGTTTTTTTTGGTGTCGGGGAGGGTGTTGCTGGTACTGGGGATTGGACCCAGGTGCCTTCACACTGAACTACATCCTCATCTCCTTTTTTATTTTCTATTTTGCAACAATCTTACTAAGTTGTCTCACCTGGGCTTAAACTTTCACTCCTCCTGCTTTAGCCACTGAGGATTACAGGCATATGCCATTGGATCTGGCTTCCTACTTTAGATATGATATTACTGTATTACAATAAAATCTGCGAGGTAAAAAAACGCTTATTGTTATTCCTTCTTAACAAAATCCATTTATCTTTATGGAGTGGCTGTTGGCTCAAAAAAAATTGTGATTTGACATGCCAGGGGGTCCAGCAATTAAAATGCTGCCTTTATCTTTGAAATTCCTATGGAGTGTCATTTCTGTTTCCTTTAATGCTCTTACCACAGTCTATTTTGATAATATATATTCTTTGGCTATAGAAGGAAATAAGTAGAATAGGAAATATTCTATTTTATCATTGAAAGCTTCCAAAAATTTCACACAGAATCCTGACCTTTCTAAATTTCTGATGTTTGACCTAGCAAATCTATTTTTAGAAACAAGACAAGCTAAACCAGGCTGGTGCATATGTCAGTAACCCCAGCACTCTAGGATCCTGAAGTAGGGGGATCACAAGTTGAGCCCAGTCTGGTAAATTTAGGAATGTAGTGAGAACTTGTATCTAAATAAAATAGAACTTGTATCTAAATAAATAAATTAGGCTTGGGATCTAGCCTAGTATGAAGGCCTTGGGTTCAATCTCCAGTACTGCAAATAAACAAATTTTAAGAGAATTAGTAGGGGAAAATTGCACATATTCTGAAATTTATGAGTACTGTGTAAGAGAAATTCTTTAAAGCATTATGAAAATAATTTTTTTCTTTTTTTTTGAAAATAAATAATTTGTTTAAAAAGAAAAGCTAGCCAGGCATGGAGGCATATGCTGGTTATTCTAGCACTCTGACAGACTGAGGCAGGAGGACCGAAAGTTTGAGTGGGCAATTTCACAACCTTGTGAGCTGTCTCAAAAGAAAGAGTTTAAAAAGGGGGGTGATGGGGTGGGATTTTAGCTCAGTTCCACTACCTGCCTTGCAAGTGCAAGGACCTGAATTTGATCCCCGGCACTAATAAATAAGTAAAATAAAAAGGGGGGTGAAAAGGTCTGGGGCCACAGCACAATGCAAAGGCTCTGGGTTCAATCCATAGTACTGAAAAATAAAAGGAATTTTTAAAAAAGAAAATTATAATATCAATGAGGTTGTGTTACATGAATTACATTATATAAGATGAAAGAATGCTACTAAAGTTAAAAAAGAATAGTCCCCACTACACATTGGGTATTGGAAGTACAGGGACAGGACTCTTATCTGGACCACTATATTCCATAAACTTCAAAAATATAGGAAATGTCAGGTCCTGAAAAACAAGCAGGTGTTAATGGTTGTTAACTTAATTAAAAAAAGAAGAATCGCTATCACCTTAGACAAAGCTTTGAGATGTGTAATGTCTGTTTCCTCCTGTGATTCCTCTAGCAGAAAAGTAGAACTGAGGGAGAAAGTAAGAGTCCTGAAATACCAGACCTTTGTTGCAACTCTCTCACAGGCCAAGTCAAATGGTCTGCTCCACATAAAGCCTGAGACAGGTGGATCACCCATTTGATCCCAGTTTGGGCAACTTGATCAACTTATTGTACCCAGTCTCTAAAATAGACCAAAAGAGGCAAGGGATGTACTTCAGTGTAAATGAGATAGGAGGTAGGGTGTGATAAAGCTGGTTGAGGAAACAAGCAGGACCTATTAATTACAAGATTCTAAGACAGCACTAAATAATTCCGAGGCCCCCTATGTAATACTTCTCATGGGTTCCCAGAGATGTGAGCAACTATAAAGGACACAGATGCCTGAGGACCCCACTATCAAGACTCTTATTGGTGGCCCACCCTGAATCTCCCAGACCCAGGTTGTTATGGCTTGGATCTAGATGTCCCCCCAAAGCCTCATGTAGTCATACGTGGGGGTTTTTTGATATGGCTGGATCTAGGGTGTTTGATGCTGGGATCAAAGCTGTGGTGCTGGGACTGATTCATGATGTGATGCTAAGATTAAGGGTTTAAGTGCTACCCAGTCTTTGGATGTAATGTAAGGGACAGAAAGAGGATTGTTGTTTGTTGCTTGCTGCTTGTCATGAACTATTTTTCCTCTGTGATGCTCCTCTGCCATGCTACCCTGCCTTATAGCCAGCTGACTATGGACTGAAACCTCTACAAACTGTGAGCCAAAATGAAACTTCCCTCCTTTAACTTTGGATGTTAGGTATTTTGTCTTAGCAATGAGAAAAGTAACTAAAATGCAAGATGTACATACTTTTACTTTTGCTTTTCTGTGGCGGCCCAGCCGTCACAACACGAACGTACCTGAGTTGGGGAGTGAGGATTGAGAAAGGAAAGAACACTCACACCTGAGTGGAGACCAAGAGAAGTCTCGTTTATTTCTACAGAAACAGCTTTTCTTAAAGGCACATTAACAGGAAGCATCAAGCGATCATCTCCATCATTTCTTATGCAAAAACAGGAATTCCTGATTTCTACAGATACCAAACCTTTGGCTATCTCTTTGAGTTCCTCCCGCCTCAGGGTAACACATAAGCTTATCAAACAGAGTCCTTGAAAGGTAACAAATGTTATATAGCCTTTATCAATGCCTTCATTGTAAAGGAAGAAGTTTCCTTTCAAGTGTCAAATGCCAGAGAGCCACGATGGGCTCCCACACTTTTCTCCTTCCTCTTTTGTTTGGCTCAAGTTTTCTCTGCAGGGCCAATTTTTCCCTTATTCCTTCACCGCTCACTTTTCAAATACACTTTCGTTACTCTTTTTTGGCTTGTCTCATTTAATTCTTTGTTCAAGGCAAGAAGAACCTGAAATACATTTAATTGGAGAGCCATTGTTAAAGGAACTACTCAGTAATGAAGGTGCTGGGTTCAGTCCCCAGCAGAGGGTGGCAGGAAGGTGGAGAATTTAGTACCTTATGAAAGAACCTACATTATAGGGTTAAAGTATTCCCCAAGTTCATAGTAACTTACTGAGGGACACTGTGGTGTGGAGGTACTAAAGTGTATTTGACTCATGTAGGGGACCCAGTGGAAAATCTTGGTTGAGGGAAATGGAAAGAATTCATGTTATTTGGACTTCTTTCCTTTTCACAAAGTCCACTTTGGGTGGTGGCTGAGGTCTAAATTTCTGGTCTGGTCTGAATAATGGTGTGATGGCACACATATAACCCTAGATTTCTAGGAAGCTGATGCAGGAGAATCACAATTTTGAGCACAGCCTGTGCCACTCGGGGACTTAGTGAGACTGTATCTAAACCAATCAACCAATCAATAAAATATTAAAAATCATGATCTCAGATACAAACTGTTACACTCGAACTATTACACTGTTGGAAATTGAGCATTTCACAAATAACTCTTTCAATGCTCACCAAATCCTTTGAAGGAGTTATCTCTTTCTTCAGGGAGTAAAAGGCACAGAAAAGTTAAGTAACTAATTTGAAGTTACTTTAGTAAACAGCTAAGCCTCTGTAGAATTCAGCAGGCCTGGCAACACTAGTTTGCCTATCAAGCATATTCACTATTCTAGGTCCCCGGTCCAGTAACATTGTCATAGTCACCATCACAACCAAGAAATTCAGAAAAAACAGACAAAAATACACCCTGACAAAACTACAGGGTCAAAATGAGTCAAGTCCATACAATGTGACCATGGCCTCACAAATGGTTGCAAATCCACACAATCTCAAGTGACTGGACCTGTTGTTTTACCCTAAAAACTCCAAATCTCAGATCCATGGCAGAAATCACACACACACACACACACACACACACACACACACACACACACTCCCAAAACATCAACTTCCCCCAACCCCTCCTTTTTTTCTTGTGGTAGTGGTGATTGAACTCCCCAGCCTTCCCACTAAGCTATATGTGGAGCTCTTTTTGTTTTGAGGAAGGGCCTAGCTCGGTTGCTGAATTGTCCCGTCTGGGCTATACCGGCGTCATCACTCCCGGATACCCCTCCCTCTTATGAGTGTTGCCTGGATCTTGAGCCTCTGGCCTATACTAGTTACCCCGTCTTTATAGCGAATGATATAGTTCTGAGTGGAACCCCGACCCAAGGGAACTAACTTGACTAAGTCAAGCTTTCCTCACGGACCAGACACCCCATCGCAGATAACCCGAATCTACCGAGAACTGATAACAAGGAAGTGCCTTTTGCAGAAAATAGTCTTGGGCCGCGAAGGATTCTGGGAAACGTAGTGTCCAGCAAGAAAGTGGCGACATATTCGGATTCTTCTCAGGACCAAGTCGCATTCCCAGGCTCTTCATGCGGAGCTTGAGCGAGGCAGCTCCTACAAAACCGAAGAGTGATTCTCCAGCGCAGAGGCTCACGCCCTTACCCGCCGCCGTTGGCGTCCTCACCGCTAGCGCACAGGAAGGCCCGGTCCACCCGGGTGAGTCGCGGGGTCCTCTGGGAAGTGTTGGGCATCTAACGGATCGGCGCTTGTGTTGCTCTCGGCCATAGCTAGCGGCGACCTCAGCGGCGCCTCATCGAAGCCCGCTCGGGCTGACCCACTTGGGCGGCGTTCGGGTGTGGAGTCGGGGCGTGCGTGTTCTGGCTCCGTGGTGAGTCCTTGGGAGCCTTTGTGCTGGGTGGGAGCGTGGTCGTCGCCGCGCCGGACGTCTCGTCTGTGCGGTGGTTCCCGAAGGCCGTGGGAGTGGCGCGTGAAGGACCGAGCGCCCAGCGTGAGGTGACCGGTATTCGCGCTTTCCCTTCTGTGTTTCATTATGAACGAGGGCGCAGACGTGCGTGACTGCGCGATCTTTAAGTGAATGAGAAACTGCGTGGGTGGAAGGTAGGATAGGGTTGCGTGTGTGAGACTGTTTGAACGAGTACTGCCTTTCTTTCTTTATAGCACTTGAAAATATGTTTTTAACGTGAAACACTTGCCCCAACCCTTGACCATTTATTTATTTTTAGGTTTATTTTCGTGTGTTAGCAAAGTGTTTTGTGTACGAGTGGAATTCATTCTTCTTGTCCTGAACTCTTCTCCCAAAATCGCTAAAGACAAGCTTAAAGAACAAAATCACTCATAATCTCATCAGCCTTGCAACCCCTGTCAAAATTTACAAGCCATCTTTTCACCCTTTCCCTTCTGAATACATTCATACGTATGTACAGTATTGCATACATTACGTATAATATATACAACGTATATAACATACAGCATATTCTGCAATGTACAATACATGACGGACATATAAAATATATAATACCTAATATATGTAACAAAGTATAGAATTTATTACATATATATTTAAAAACTGTAGTCACCACGCCCGTAATCCCCCACACTGGGTGGATGGGGCAGGAGGGTTATAAATTGCAGCCTCGCCTAAGCAATTTAGCCACTTTATGAGGTCTTAAAAAACAAAAGCAGTGCTGGGGCTGTAGCTCAGTGTGGTGGCCCTGAGTTCAATCCTTAGTGCCTCCCCCCATACTGCCGTTACACTGTGCCTCAATTCTGTAACCTACCTTTCTCATTTACCAATGCATGATTGATATCTCTATATTTAAACAATTACAAGTTTATGCCAGCATTTTAGTTTTTCATGTTATACATTTTAATGCATCTATCCCTCATGCCATTTATCTTTACAACTTCTTGAAGTTATGAACAGTGATTTAGTACATGTTATAATGTACTTTTCTTTTTTTATGTTTCGGAGAGAGTAGAAAGCTACTGTAAGTGGAGTTGATGGCTCAAAAATTATACCTCTATTAAAGACTCCCTAAATTTATCTACTTATTCCCAGTGCAAAGTTCCAGTAATCTACAGTGTTATTGGCATAGTATATGAGTGCCTCTACCCATACATCCTTGATAACAGTGGGCATCATAAATAATGGTAATTTTGTTAACCATATAGCTATAAAATAACTTAATTTGCAGTTATTTGATTACTACTGAAGTCAAGCTTTTTTAAAATCTCATTTATGAATTATATATTTTCTAAGTAGTGTTCTATTTTCAAATTTCTTTTCCAGAGTTCTTGTATTAAGGATCCGTTCATTCATAGACTCACCATTTATTGAATGCTGTCTGTCTAACAGGCATGATTCTAGATGCTTGGGATTTAGCAGTAAACAAAAGAGACAACCCTTGTGCTATAATGATACTTACATTGTTGTGGGCCTGATAATAAACAAGGTAAGCAAATTAAATATGAAATATATGAAGCGAAATACGTTAAATGGTGAAAAATACTAATAAAAATGTAAAGTGGGAGGATATTTAAAATTACAGATAGGAGTTGTAGTTTTAGGTAAGGTAGCTAAGGAAGTGTCTTAAAATGGTAGTAACAAAGATATAGTGAAAGTAAAGGAGCCAGTTATGTATATAACCGAGGAAAGGTTATTCTATGCTGAGGGAAAATAGTAAAGATTTTGAGGAGGCAGCGTGCCTGTTACAATAAAGAGGCTGGTATGGCTTAGTTAGAGGAGGTGAGGGGGAAGGATAGTGGGAGATGATAGAAGTTCCTTACGTGGTTGAAGGACTGTTGCATTGTGACATTAGAGGAAGTAAGATGGAGAGATAGAAGGATATTTTTGCCTTTGTTTTTAATGTTTTAAGATAGAACAATCCTTCCTACCACCATACTGGCTTTAGAAAACAGAAGATTTTTAGCTAGGCCCATTGTCTTAGGAAGGGTTATAAAGTAGTGATATTTGAATTGTCATTCCTTGTTAGATACAGTTTGTACAGGAAAGGCAGAATGAATGAATGATTTTATAGGGTTTGGGGCTATTGAATTATTTCTGTAGTATCTCTTAATGAGTTGTTATTCTATTACCATTAAATACCCATCAATTATAACATACTTTGTGTGTTTAAAATTGTTACAGCTATTTTCTTTTTTGAAGATCGAGTTCCTCATTTTGGCCACCCCTTCAAGATAGCTTCTGAGTCTTTTAACTCATCCCCTGCAGTTTTATCCTGTTGTGACAGAATTTCCCAGAATCATTTTAAACATTTTCTTCCATACCCATGTAAACAGTTTTTCTGTATGGAGTCCTGATTCCTTTCAGTGGGAAATGCTACTTTAAGACCACAATTATAGTGTTTCTAGGACAGAGAAAAAGAAAGAGTGGGGTGGGGGAGAGGGAGTGTGTGTGTGTGTGTGTGTGTGTGTGTGTGTGTGTATCTACGTGTGTGCACAGAGCTAGGAAATATTTTTTTAAATTTCACCCGCTTAATTAAGATCTAATTTGTATACCATACATTTAACCCATTTAAAGAATAAATTTTTTTGGTGGTACTTGGGATTGAATCCAGAGTCTGCACTGAGCTACATCCCTATCCCTTTTTACATTTTTTAATTTATTTTTTGAGATAGGTTCACACTAAATTACTAAATTGCCCAATCTACATTGAATTCTTGATCCTCCCAGAGTTCTGGGATTACAGGTGTGTGCCACCACACCTGATATACAGTTTAGCTTTTAAGTAAAATATATATACAGACTTGTGGAACTTTTATTCAGTTATAATTTTAAAGCATTTTTGTCCCTACTAAATGAAACATTGTACTCCTTAGTAATCCTGTATTTTCTTCATTCTCAGCCAAATCAACTGCTAATCTGCTTTCTGTCTCTTCATTTGGCTATTCTAGATGTTGCATATCAGTGAAATATTAACAACATATGGTCTTTTTCAACTGGCTTCTTTCACTTGGCATATTTTCAAGGTTCATTCATGTTGTAGCAGGAAATATATTCTTAACAAAATAGGCATCATACTGCTATTTCCACTGTTAAAATAATTTAGAATTACAGAGTTTTTAACTTTGGCTTTATTTTTTTACCTTTTATTTGCTTATCAATCCATAAATATATGTAATATGTATATATATGTGTATGATAGTTTCACGGCATCATTATCAGTATTCATAACATTCTTAACTGAAAATTTTAATATTTTCTATAGATCTGTTTGTTGTGTGTATCCCTGTAGGGAAGTACAATTCAATTATTGTACTTTAAAATAACTAGAATTAATTTTTCTTTAAGCTACAAACTTGGTAATGATTAAATTCATTTATTTTGCTTTTTAGGTGTAGCTTTTGTTTTATTATTTCATTTAAGTGTATTATAATTATATAAAATATTTACATAGAATGTTAAATGCACAGAACAAAGTATATTAAAGTATATGTGAAACAAAAAGTATACAAAACAAAGAAATCTTGTATTTATTTGTATCTCTACTACCTTGTTCTTTGTCTTGTGAGTACCTGGTTTTTGTTATTGTTGTTGTTTTGTTTTGTTTTTTTGTGACAGTGTCTTGTTATATGGTTCAGGTTGGCCTTGAACTCACTATGTAGCTCAGGCTGGCCTCAAACTCATGGCAATCCTCTTGCTCACTCTACCAAGTGCTGGGATTACAGATGTACACCACCACACCTCACTTGAGTACCTGTTTTGAAAATATATTAGTCTTTTTGTTTTTTTATCTTTCCATTTTTAAATTGAAGCATATATATATATATATATATATATATATTTATATACA